AAGAAGAAGAAGAAGAAGAAGAAGAAGAAGAAGAAGAAGAAGAAGAAAAAAAGAAAGAAAGGAAATGGGGCAGGGGTTGGGGTGCTAAAAATGGCTCATTTGTTAAGTTGTTCTTCCTGAGGTTTTGGTTCCTAACACCCTGTGGTTGCTTAGAACTATCTTAACTCCATACTCTGGCCCCTTTCCTGGACTCTACATGTAGGTGGTATGCAAAATACCCATACACACACATAAAATAATAAAAAAACTAAAAAAAGAGAGGGTTGTATGTGTGGCTCAGTGATGAAGCATGCACGTAGCCATACACGTGACGTTTAGCACTCTGGCTGTGGTGGAAGGGGTCCAGGATATAGTTCAGTGGATGTGGGAAGACATAGGTTCAATTTGCAGATCCACAGAGGGAAAATTGGCTGTGAGTATAAGGTCGTGTTAAGCATGCTGCTTAACATGAGACCCTCTGTTAAGCAAACAGCATTGTGGGAGGTAGGAGGGCAATGCAATGTGAACTGTGCTTTTAAGTCCTAATTTTATCACTAGTTAGAAACCTGGCTTTGTTTATTAGCCTCACTGTCTCTATGACAAAATACCAGAGACAAACAACTTAAGAGGAGGAAAAGCTTATTTTGACTCACAGCTTCAAATGTTTCAGTCCATGGCCCACTGGCCCTGTTCCCTCAGCCTGTGCCTTTGATAGCCTGTTCATGCTGAAGCCACACCCTGGATGCTGAGACTACAGAAGCACAGTAACACACCCTGGTGGGTCAACGTACGCTCTTGTCCTTCATTTTCCTGGGCAGAAATTCAGATGCAAACTGATATCAACTTGTAGGATCAGCTGTAAAAGCAAGCATCCTAGAAATAAAATGGAAAGAGGACATAACTTACAGTGGGAAGGGCCAGACCTCCTGAAGATGCCTAATGGTACCTAATATTTCAGGCTTTAAAGACCGCACAGCTTAAATACCACTCAACTACGCTGTAGCACAAACATCCAGAGATAACAATGAGTGAAGATGACTATTTTTCAGCAAAACCTTTCATCAAGTAGGAGCTGGTAGTACAACTCAGTGGCAGAGTACACAGGAGCATTAGGTCCATCCCTGACACAAAACCAAAACCAATCAAAAGCTTCTGCCACCTAGCTCACTTGCCTTAGTAGGCATTTCAGCTCTTCTGGCCCTCAACAGCGCTGACCAGACTGCGATGCATATGGCCTACTCAAACCATTGCAGAAGGATACATCGTTGTGCTAGATAAGCCATGCTTAGAAATGGCATTTCTGTCAGGTGGTGGTGCCTTTTAATCCCAGCTGGGGGGAAGCAAAGACAGGCGGATCTTTGTGTGTAATCCAGGGCAGCCTCGTCTACACAACACTTCCAGGAGACCCACAGTTACAGAGAAACCCTGTTTCAATCCCCACCTCAAAAGAAAAATGACATTTCAGTGAGTCTCTCTAGCCAGAAGTGAGAACCAAACCAGTCTTTATTTCTCTACTTACCTCATGTACTGGACACCATTATCACTAGAAGAGCCCCCTCCTCTTCTCTCTGAGGTCATAGAATCCAGCAAACAGTACAACATTTTGTAAAAGTTGTCTTCCTCAGAGCCAGAGATATAGTTCAGTGGTAGAGTAACTGTTAGTACGTCTAAGATCCTTGGTTTGAGTCTGAGAGAGAGAGAGAGAGAGAGAGAGAGAGAGAGAGAGAGAGAGAGAGTTATAATCTAGCCAAAAGAAGAGCAACAAAAGACTCCGCCACTGTCTACGACCTCCAAAAATCAGTTGGATCAGCCACCATTTCGTAAAGAGGCAATGGCAGGTGTAAACAGTGGCAGAGACCTGTAATCCCAGCACTCAGGTAGTCAGGGATTGTCAACTTGCACATTATGCTGGACCAAAGCTCCAGGTTAACCTGGGCTACAGGGACCCTGTCAAATCTTTAAAAACAAACAGAAAAAAGAGTGGGGAGAAGAGAGGAAAACAGAAGACACTGCCTGGTTTAATTCAATCAGCTTTTCTTATTGTTATTGTAGTCTATGATGGCCTCAAACTAGTAATCTTTCTACCTGAATCCTACTGAGGTAACAACCCTCTACTTGGCTAACTTCGTTCAATGTAACTTTTCCTATCATAAAAAAAAATCCTGCTGGGCGGTGGTGGTGCACGCCTTTAATCCCAGCAGTCAGGAGGCAGAGGCAGGAGGATCTCTGTGACTTTAAGGCTACCCTCGTCTAAAGAATGAGTTCCAGAGAAGAAAACTTGTCTTGACAAACCAACATAAACAAAGAAATAAAATAAAATAAAATAAAGTGGAAAATCCAATAACATTTATGATACATTATACTTTTAGTATTTAGCCATCTAATCTACCTTTGAAAAATGAAAAGTCCGGGGCTGGAGAGATGGCTCAGAGGTTAAGAGCACTGGCTGCTCTTCCAGAGGTCCTGAGTTCAATTCCCAGCAACCACATGGTGGCTCACAACCATCTATGATGAAATCTGGTGCCCTCTTCTGGTGTGCAGGCACACATGTAGGCAGAATGCTGTATACATAATAAATAAATCTTTAAAAAAAAAAAAGTCCGTTAAGAGCAGGGCCTTGCTAACACCTAGAATATCTCTCAGGTACTTAGTAAGTCCTTACTACCTATTGAAGAAGCCAGAAATGCCACATGGTGAACACTTTCCTTTGTTACCAAATAAGAAACCTCACCAAAAGATTTAACAACTTACCAAGGCTTTCCAGCTGCCTCCCAAAGGCATCCGTGGAAACACTGATTCATCCTGGTGGGCTTGTGAATCTTGAACAGGACAGCCTGAGGGGCAGATCTTAGAAGTTTATCTTGACCAATGACAAAATTCTAGCTTCCCAGCAATCTGCATGTTCAATAGGCATCCCAGGTGATATATGTGTGTGTGATTGTACACATATATACATATACGTACATACACACACACACACACACACACACACACACACACACACACACACTTTTTTGTTTGTTTTTGAGACAGTTTTTCTGTGTAACAGCCCTGGCTCTCCTGGAATTAGCACTATATACCAGGCTGAACTTGAACTCAGAGATCCACCTGCCTCTGCCCCCAAGTAAGAACTGGAATTAAAAGCGTGTGCCACCACTGCCCGGTCTGCAATCATATTTCGTATCATGTTAATTACCATCATCAGATAAGCATGATCTGACACTGTAATAGCCTTGAGGCTCATGCTTTCGCCAGTGATATGGAGGTTGAGACAAAAGGATTGTCATATCTTAGACCAGGCTGAGCTACATACTGAATTCCTGATCACCCATCCAAATAACCCAAAGTAACTAATCATCTTTAAAATGATAAAAAAAAGTCTTTTAGTGGGCATCAAAATTTATTTTTATGTAGATAGATTTGAATTCAAATCTACTTCCATAACTAGTCTTGGGATATTTCCAATTTCACCATCTATAAAAATCGGAAAAATGACAAAAGGTTAGGCTCTTCATTCTTTAGTATAGCTTGAATAATTTAATCTATTTTCACATAATGGGTAAATGTGAAGTAATTGTCTGATGCCTTGCAAGACCACCTTCCCTGTCTCTTTTCATTAACTTGGCAAGCCCAGTATAGATAATGAATCACTTACCAAGATTTTATCATGATTTTAAAACTATATTCTTAATAATCTCATTGGTACAAAAGGGCTCAGATTATCTCTTCACAGGGAGTACATTTCTGACAGCATCATCTGGAAATAGGAAAAAATAAATTAAGAAAGAACAGTCAAGTTTTGAAATCCAACTTTACTTCCTTTCTATTTTTCCTCCTTTGCCATCCATGTAGCCATAACATAAGACTTCTCATTTTTCCCTCCCTCTATTCTATGTCTCCATGGTAGTTTTACACATTAGCTTACTCCCTGGCACAACAAATAAATGAATAATACATTTATTTTTATCACTAAAATCAGTATTTTACTCTTGCCATACCCATATTTGCTTTATAGAAAATGATTTATTTTATTTTGTATTTTATTTTGTATTTTATGTGCATTGGTTGTTTTTTTTTTTTCTGCATGTATGTCTGTGTGAGGGTTTGATTGCCCTGAAGCTGGCATGTTGTTGTTGTGAGCTGCCATGTGGGCGCTGGGAATTGAATCAGGATCCTTAGCAAAAGCAGTCATGGCTATTGCGTCTTTCTTTCTTTGACAGTGTAGCACCGGCTGTGATGGACTTAGCCTTGTAGACTAGGCTGGCCTCGAACTCATAGTTCTCTGCCTCCTGAGTGCTAGGATTAAAGATGTCCTGACACTGCCTAGCACAGCCAGTGCTCTTAACCACTGAGCCATCTATCCAGTCCATTTTTGCTTGAAAAAAAAATCTAATCCCTTGACACTTTCATGCACGTATACAATATATTTTGATCACATTATCCCATTCCCTTCTCTTCTTCTGTGCTCACTGTATTCCTTTTTTTCTGAAAAGCGCTTCATCCTTATAAAGTTAACTTTGGATAAGCAGGGTAGCATAGGCCTGTAATCTCAGCATTCTGGAGACTGAGGCATAAGGATTACATAAAAGGCCAGCATGAGCTATAAAGCAAGAATGTCTCAACAAAAACAAACAAAAAACCTCTAAAGGCTAGAGGATTGAGAGCGGGGGGGGGGGGGGGAGACAGACATCTTGCCAAGCATACACAACCTGAATGATTCCCAGCCCTCTAAAAAAATAAAATAAGTTAGTTTGGGTAGAGGTACCATTACCCTTATCTTTGAATGTGGGACTTGACCAGCTTTTTATGTCTGGTAGTCCACGAAGCTACATTCCGTATTTCTGACCAGAATAGCCCAAAACAGCAAGTGATGGGATATGTATGCTGTCTCCAGCGCACAAAGGCTGAGGCAAAATGACTGAAACCTCAGTTCAACCTTAGCAAACCCATCTCATAGGAACAGAGACCATCAAAGGTAACCAATCCTTCGTTTAGTCATCAGGAGATAGCATGTGACTCACAAAACTCTTGGTTCTTAGATAAATAAGTAAATAAATAAATCACTGCCAGTTATTCAGTAGCAAATAAAATACAGGTGCTGCTCTTGTTATCAATAGTGGCCAGTCTCACTCTCTAAGACTCTTCAGTGGTGGAATAACTTGGAGGTAAGATGTCAAAGGAAAAGTCAAAGGCCCCAAGTACTCCTTAGTTCTAAGCATCTTATTGCTTGTGTGCTTACAGTTCCTAGGTGCTTACCATAAAAAGTAACCCAAAAATCTAGCAATTCAGCAATGAATCAAAACCCAGGTTTAAAACCTCCCATTAGATGTTACTAGTACCAGCCCAAACTGCTAAGGCTTCCTGTGTCTTCGTGACTCATAAGCAATCATCAACCTAAACCTCAGGAAGACTAAGGAGCAGATTCCTAGGGCTTAAGTTGCATAGCTTCAATCACCACCAACCCCAGCCCAAGACCATCAGTTCTCTGGTCTATTAGTGGCCAGAAAAGCTCTCTCACCATAGGTGGGGAAAGTCTGGTGCCTAGTTGACTTGGGGAAAGAGCAGACACCTTAAAGGAGTTTGAGTTCTCCCTTTATTGGGGGGAAACTAAAGGTGGAATTTACTAGATCAAGATCTGCGTAGCCATGAGCAGCTGCCGCCGCACCCTATTTTATAATGTGTTTAACCCATAGAGCCAAAAGTGGGAGAAGGAATGTGGACATGACCCAACAGGGAAATAAATGGTAAGTATAAACCGTGGTCTGTAAAATGCCTGCACTTGCCTGGTTGGCAGTTCCTTTCTCTGGGTGGAAAAAAAAAAAAGAAGCTTATTTCCACAGCTCCCTGCTGTCATGATGCAGGCCCGCTCTTTTCTAAATAAATATCTTAGCTTCCAAGTCCGGCTCTATTTACTCTACCTCTGTTAAGATTACTGCATTGAAGAGGAAAAGAACTTTATCAGATGCAAAAACCCTAAAACCCCTCAGGGAACAGATCTTTGTACCCACATCCACTCAAGTCCAAGGCCCTGAGTCAAGATGCCTAGTATCGCCAACCATTAATAAACCCTTAACTCAGTGGGAGTAGACGGACGATCTGCAGCGGTGTTAAGAGTGCCCTGCTGAATGGGCCTTGCTCAACTCCTTGCAAAGTAAGAAAAAAATCCCCACAATTTTATTAAGGACAAAAACAAAGCTATCCAGAATTTCAAAAAGGTTAAAAGTGAGGCATATTTCCCCTAACTTTCATGTGTAAGGATAAACAGGAGTTCTGAATTTATCAAAGTTATCGCAACCATTTTCTTAAATTTCTATAATGTAATCTAAGTCAAATATTCACCCATGAGACATTTATTTTGTTTTGAGCCAGGGTCTCAGGTAACTCAGGCGAGCCTTAAACTCTGTATAGCGAAGATGACTCTACACTGATTATGCTGCCTCCGCTTCCAGGTGCAAGAATTACAGGACTAGGTCACCATACTCACCTTACTGCTGTCTTTTTATTTTGCCATATCCCTTTTCCCAGTGAGAAATCACCCCACACACTTAAGAGATTAATAAAGGAAAAAACTCTTTAATAGTGCTCATCCAGTTCTGCCTAATGCTCAGAGAGGAGCCTGTCCTGAATAGATTTAACAGCCTTACATACGCCTTAGGCTGATGTATTCCACATATGCTGTCATCCTTAAATCTCTATTGGCTCGAGGTTACACTTTGAACAATATAAGCAGACACTGGAGATTCGGCCTGGCCACTTGGACAATGGGAGATTTAAATAGCAAAGAGAGTGCCAGGATTATTATTATTTTTTTTTTTTTTTGGGTGGTGGTGTCTTGAGGTTCAGGCTGGCCTTGAATTCAGAGAATTGCTTGCCTCTCTCACCTTAATGCTGGGACAAGGGGTGTGTGCCACCACTGTCCACTTAGCCAGAATTCCTTTTTTTTTCTTTTCAGAATTTTTATTAAATACAGGAATGTTTTCTTTTCAAATAGTTGTTACCCAGGATGATATTCCATTTGGCAGAATTAAGCTTTTCCTGAAAAAGAACCTGGGGCTTTATGGAAAGGCAGGATTTAACCCTGGCTGTGAATCTACACTGCCCCCTTGCGCTGCCAGTTAGAAGCATATTCTCTGGGAATGTCCTAATGTCTGGTTAAATCAGGATTGTCTCCTTTGTTATGGGAATGGGCCTTAAAGAATGGTCAATCATGATGAATAAACATTTTACACCCTAGTACCCTAAATTTCCTTTAATCTCTAATAGGCCTGCCTGGTTGTCTATCTTTTACAGGTAGAAATCCCCTAGCCAATTCTACTAAGCAAATCTATTACTAAATCTTATTTTTCTCTCTCTCCAGAGGGGTTTCTCTGTAGCTTTGGAGCCTGTCCCAGAACTAGCTCTTGTAGACCAGGCTGGCCTTGAACCCAGAGATCCGCCTGCCTCTGCCTCCTGAGTGCTGGGATTAAAGGCATACACAACTACCGTCCAGGTAAATGTTTTATAACATTAATTTTATAACTTTGAAGTCGGGTGATGGTGGGGCACACCTTTAATCCCAGCACTTTGGAGACAGAGGCAGGCGGATCTCAATGAGTCTGAGGCTTGCCTGGTCTAAAAAGCAAGTTCCAGGACAGCCAGGGCTACACAGAAAAGTCCTGTATTGAAAAACAAAATAAAGAAATAAAAAAATAGATTGCTGCTTTGAGAGTTTCTTCTACATTGATTTGCTTTTGAGACAGACTGAACGACCACGCCCAGCTTGCTGTTCTATTGTGCACAAATATAAAAGTTTTATTTAACAGAATTCCTACTCATGAATAGGTTTCCCATTATTTACTGCTATCAAAACTGTGAACATGCCCACCCTTAAACCTTTTTTATATATCCCTAAGTACATATTTGGGGATACATACACGTAGCAATGAACATAAACCTTTATTTCAAGAGAAATAAAGAGCCGGGCGGTAGTGGCGCATGTCTTGAGGCCAGTCTGGTCTGCAGGAGCTAGTTCCAGGACAGGCCTCAAAGCTACAGGAAACCCTGTCTCAAAAAACCCTGAGAAATATAAAGAGGACTATGACATGGTTTCTACCCTTCCATTTAAATTGTTAACAGAGGTACCCTAGAGTCCATTCTGGACTGTGCTCCCCCACCCCATCCCGTTGTTTGAGACAAGATTTCTATGTAGCTTTGGAGCCTGTTCTTAAACTTGCCCTGTAGACCAGACTGGCCTAAAACTCAGAGATCCGTGAGTCTCACCCTCCTGCAGGCTGGGATTAAAGCAGTGTGCCACTTCTGTCCGGTTTCTTTTTGTCTGTCTTGTTTTGTTTTTAGAGACGTGGGGTCCCTATTTAGGGATTAAAGCAGTGTGCCACCCCTGTCCGGTTCCTTTTTGTCTTGTTTTGTTTTTAGCCCCCTGTTGTGTGACCTTTTGTCCTGAACACAGAGATCCACCTGTCTCTGCCACCTTGAGAGAAGGCCGGGCAGCTACCTCACCACCCGCTGGATAAATACAACTCGTGGCAGGGTAAATTTAAAATCCTATGACTAGAATTTCAAATGCTAACTACACTGTCATTGTCATTTTATTTTAGACTTTTATCCAGTAGGGAATACTTAAGAAACCATTTGCTCCCGAGGAAGACAAAGGTATTTGGTATGGATGGTTTAACGCCTTTCCTTCCACCTCCAGTTTTAAGCAAACAATGAGCAAAAGTCTTTTTCAAAAGCAAAATGGGCTTGGTGGTGTTAGCGCAGCCTTTAATTCCCAGCACTCTGGAGGCAGAGACAGGAGGATCTCAGTGATTTGAGGCCACCCTGGTCAACAAAGTGAGTTCCAGCCAGGCTCCAAACCTACAGAGAAACCTGGTTACTGTCTCAAAAAACCAAAAGAAAACAAAACAGAAAAAAAAGCTGCTCCTCTGCACCCTGATGAATCAGATACAAGAGACTAAAACAGAATGTTTTTGTTTTGTTGAGATAGGGTTTCCAAATAACAGTCCTGGTTGTCTTGGAACTAGCTCTGTAGACCAGGTTGGCTGTGAACTCAGAAAACCCACTGCTTCTGCCTCCCAAATGCTGGGGATTAAAGACATTTGCATCCCCTGCCTGGCACAACAGAAAAAAAAAATTTAAAACCCAACAATTGGGAATGAATAAGATGAAGCAAATACAGTAAAAATTTTCATGACAAAATCTAGGAATTAGGCATTCTATGTGGGTACTTGAAAACATTTATAATCTAGTGGTGTAAGAACGTAGCAAGCTACCCCCAGAAAGAACACATCATGATATAAGCCTCAACAATGTTCCTCCATGTTAGTTTTCTTTTGGTGCATGTTAGTTTTCTTTTGGTGCAAGGGATGATTGAGTAAGCCCTTGCACGCGCAACAGTGGCCCAGGGTTTTCTTGTTTTAATGTTTGCTTTGGTGTTGGTGATAGTCAAACTCAGGGCCTTGAACTCCCATAAATTTAAACCCTGAAGTAGAGTTTACACTTCCTGCCTTTCTTACATCTATCTGACTTATATCCCTTTAACTTTTCAGTGTAGCAAAATGAATCACAACAGACTCTTAGGGAGATCACCAAAACAGTGAGCTTTTGTCTTGGGTCAGGGGGAGGCTCTAAACTCTTATCAATACCCCAGTTGGCTAGCAGAATACATCTGAGTAAATGAATTACTTCATACTCCTGGCTTCTCTGATGAAAAATTAGAAGCTTAGATCAGACCGCCTCCTAGCACACTGGCTGCTGCCTCCACTCCTGAACTGTTCCTGTGCTACAGATGAATCCAGTTTTTGCACCAGCTCCTCCAAGAAGAGATGCTCCTTGAAGTGCAGCCAGAAGCGCTTCTACAAAGAGGCTTCGTGCAAGTGCAGGTCTTGCCCCTGAAGCAGAGCCATCTCTGCACCAGATGTATAGCTCTGCGGTTTTAGTTTTTTGATTTTTTTTCAACCATGACCCATTCTCAACACCTCTTTCTATAAAGCATATAACTGATCAAATGGCCTGACTTAATTTAAAAACTAGTGCATTAAAAAATTAGGGACTAGAGAGATGGCTCTGGCAGTTAAGAGCATCGGCTGCTCTTCCCAGTACCCAAACTGGTGGTTCTCAACCCAGTGTAACTCCAGTTCCAGGCGACCCAGTATGTTCTTCTAGTATCATTGGGCACTGCATGAACACGGCACACACATACCTGCAGGCAAAACATGCATATTCACAAAAATAAAGGCTAAAAAACAAAAGTAACACTATTAATTGCCAGGTCAAGTAGCACATACTCACAGTCCTAGCACTTTGGAGACTGAGACAAAAGATGAGACGTTTGAGGACAGACTGGTCTACATGAGACACTATCTCAAAAAAGTAAGTGAGTTCTTTTTCAAATGTTGGTGGTGGTGTTGGTGGTGGTGATAATGAGTTGGTAAACTATTCATTTAACACGCAGGAAGCACTAGGTTGCATTACTAGCCTTGAATAAAAACAAAACAGGAAAGGTGACACAAACCTGTAATCCCAGTACTCGCGCAGAGGCCTCGTATTAATTCAGTCATCCTCAGTTACATATGCTAGACAGCTAGGGTTCTAAGAAATCAGACCTAAACAAAGCAAAGCACAAGTTTTAGTGCCCACCCCAAACAGGAGATACAGTTGTAACTCACTGTGACAGCACTTAGCTAGCATATCTAGCATGTACAGCCTTCTATCATGTTCCAGCTCCTGGCATCGCCAAAAACAAACAAAACGAAGCATTGGGACCAAAGTCTAAATATTTGCCTCAGCCTACTTTTCTGCCTCAATCTAAAGTTCTGCATTCTCACTGTATATATTCATGGTGTGGGCAGGGAAGCAAATGGCAAGGCATCTAGGTTTGCCATGCCCACATCCTTCAAGTCATTATTACAGGTATTTTTTTAAAGGGGAAGCAGGCCATCCTCTTGCAGTGCACTCAATAAACTATTCTTCCTGGAAGAACACTAAAAGAAAAATGACTGTCTAGAGTTAATGCTCAAACATAGATCCTGAAAGACAATTAGTAACTATAAGACCCTAAAAACTTAAAAGCTTCTAGCATATCTGATAAAACAAGTGAGTTGCCAAAAGCAATACCAACCTTTTTTTGGGGGAGTGGAGGAAGGCGAGGGGCGCTATATGTATCTCAGGTTAGCTTCAAACTCATGGCGATCCTCCTGCCTCAACTTTCAAATGCTGTGCCCAGCATAGGCTGCTGAATGAGTTTCATAAAATGCTAAACGGATCCTAGGTGAATGAAGTGGGGATAATGTAAAGGTTTTGCCAGAGTTTCTGGAGGCAAAAGTGTTCCGAAATGAGCATGGCTCATTTCCAACAGAAATGTATTTACAAAACTGGGGATCCTGGGGCTACATGACTTTATACTACTTAAGGGGTGACTCCAGAAGTGGTAACAGTGTGTTGTGTGTGAGTGAGGGGTCAGTGAAAGGCCATTAGGATGAGGCTCAGATCTAACAACTAGAACCCAGGCCCCACCAAGGAAGTAAATGTCAGCAGTACAACAGCAGAAACGTGTAAATACCAAGGCCGGAAATCCAAACGCAAAAATCCCTGAGAAAATAAATGACTAGAAAAAGGGCTTCATCATTTTGAAGAAATGACAGTCAAGAACCTGTAGAGATCACTTTAGCAGGCACACAAAGGTTTGTCGATGACTAATTCATTTATTCACCCAGTAAATATTACTGAGGCCTACTAATATGCCAGAATGAGCTTTGGAAATGAAATTTGCCCTGGCCTCGTGGATCTTACAGTTTAGAACATAGGAAAACAGGCATGTAAACCATCTGAACACAATCTGGATAGGTACTGGAAGACTTATCAGGTTGTACTATGACTGATGTAAAATTTCTTCCCAGGGTGGGCTTCTCCAGGCTGCTGGGGGTTAACAGCTGCAGGAGAAAAACCAGTTGCACAAATTAAGGGTTAAATACTTTTAAAAACTGTTATGAACTATGAACTATGTTCATAACTATAGTTATGAACTATATATGAACTATGGCTAGTTCATATAATTCTTCATTTTCCTTAATTCCCGATCCTAGTTAGATTGGAGAAGCAGATGCTGGCATGGGGTGGAAAGACACAGTGCTAAAAAAAGGATGTTTTCAACCATAGTCCTTCCAACTCACCACATTCAAGCCTTATTTAATACTATCTACAGCTAAAAAAAATGCTGAAAAATAAGATGTTACAACTAACTAGGGTAAAGTCAGAGTAACTAAGTAGTTGAAAGCAATTAAGCTCACTTGGCTCCTTTAAACCCCCAAATCCACAATCTATTCTGATTTAAAAAAAAAGTTCTGTTTGTCAGGGTTATAATCATGGTACTTGGGAGTCTGGGGAAGGACGATCTCCACAAACTGGCAGCCAGCATACATCATACAGGGAGAGCACACTAGCCTGAGCCACAGAGATTGCTTCAAAAATAAGGAAAAAATATAAATAATAACTAAAACCAAGACTTAGCAATGCCACCCACAATCCCAGCACTGGGGTACGGGAGGCAGGAGGATCTTAAACTACATGAGACTATCTCCCCTCATACACACACAAAGATAAAAAATAGACTATTAAATGCAAAATAGATGAGACATAAATATGGGATCGAAATGTTAGACTGTCAGGCGGTGGTAGCACATGTCTTTAATCCCAGCACTTGGGAGTCAGAGACTCTGTGAGAGTTCAAGGCCAGCCTGGTCTACAGAGTGAGTTCCAGGATAGGTAGGGCTGTCTCGAGGGAGAGGGAGGGGGAGAGAGAGAGAGAGAGAGAGAGAGAGAGATAGAGAGAGAGAGAGAGAAATGTTAAGACCACTGTATTTGTATTATCTAATAAGCCTTAAACAAGAGCTATTTGCGGGACAGGCACCAAAGCTAGAGAAACCTTGTCTCAAAAAAAAAAAAAAAAGCGTAGCCTTATGTACCAGGAGTAACCGGTTTCAGGTATCAAAGAATACCCTTCCGAAAGTCTGAGAACTTCTGATTCACTTGCACATTAAAAAACATAATGAAACATTTTCACTCTCTTTTTCAAAACCGTGCAACAGTGGGAGTCTCTTTGAGGAGAGATTACCACTGTAAAAATTTATCCGGAAATCCCACCATCTGGCAAAGGCACAGCAGGAAGCGCTGCAGGGAGTGCGGCAGGCGCCTGTGCTCCAGTTACCCCCCTCCCCGCAGTCCCCCGCTCACCGCGGCACGTAACTTCCGTTTCTGCCACCCGCGCTCCGCGCGCGACGCGCGGGAAAAGATGCTTCCTTAGGACGGGGGTGGGGGGGGGTGGGGGGAGTGAAGTAGGCTCAGGCTGTGCACGATCTGAGACTACATTTCCCAAGGGGCTGTGGTGGCAGCAGTGGTAGACACGATGTCACCCGGAAATGGATGCTGAGTCTTCCACGCGTACAAGCGAAGAGCCAACAAGATACTTGAGCACTCCACTAGGGATCTTTGGGGAAAGCCAGAGGTTGCTGGCTGAACAACTTTCCGGCTTTAAACCATAATCATATGAGAAAAAATATTTAGGAGGTGATGTGAGTTTATCTAGCTTTCACATCCTTCTCGCCTACGTAAGGAAATGGAAGTCAGCCAAGGCTCCAGCAGCCCCAGCGGCATAACCTTACGCGGCGGACCGGGGGTGGGGGTGGGGGGTGGGGACCGCACTATGGGGACGGACAATGCTCGAGAACAAAGAAAAGAGTTACTTTCACGTGGTCACTGCTGACCACCAGAATTCCCTTTTTGGGGAAGGGGGTTTAAACCTGAAATACCCAGAATTGGCAGCATCTTAAGTGAATTTCATGACCAAGTTGTATATTAATTTAGACAAGTTGGGAAAATGTTTGCATTTTGAAAGACACGCGGTGACCAGTATTGTACACCCACAGTTCTGCAAGGATTTTTAAAATATGCTCCTAATCCAGAGGATCCATCAGCAAAAGATGCAGCATCATTTAGGCTTTTGCACAACTTTTACAGCGGTGGCTCTGTTTTTCATTAGTTCCCCTATCGTGGTTTAAGAATAAATAATAAAGCTAACTGTCAGAGTGAACCTCAGAGATGATGTGTTTTCTGCCCTTCTTTACGGTGCTCTACTTGCATGTTTTAAAAACATATAGCCAGTTCTTTAAAATATTCTCTTCTAGTAACTTCTAAGTGTTTAGACGCTGTCGATAAACTAAAAAGACTGATCCCAAACCAGAAGATAAACCCCACAGCCCTTACCATGAAATGTTGATTACTCCGTTCAAAAAACATACAAACAAAAATTTGGTGATAATTTTGTATGCCTTGTCTGGTACAGCAAATCTTATGTTGTAATAAAATTGTTATTCTGAAACATACCAAAAAAAAGTTCCTTGGTTCAGATGGTTTTACCAAGACAAGATGAAATTTTTCTGTGTCCCTTAATGGATTTTTGTTATTGTTTTATGAGACAAGGTTTTGCTATGTAGCACTTATAGCAGTCCTCCTGCCTCGTTCTCCTAAATGCTGAGGTTATAAAAAATCGGAGTAACAGAACACTAATGGACAAAGCACAATAAAGTTAAAATTTCAACAGATATTAAGATATAAAATATCACAAAAGTAAAACTGAGAAACATACAAAGGAAAAAATTAACCTAAGAAAAAGGAAACAAGATGCTGGTTTTTAAACAATTTATCTAAATTCTCAACACAGTACTTCTGAGTAAAAAAAAAAAAAGCACAACCTTTTGGGGAAGAATTTGGCAATTTTTATTTGACCAATTGTTAAAATGATCATACTATTTGATATAATTCCATATACGTGGGCCTATTCTAACAATTTTAACTTGTACTTTTTTATATTACCAGCAAAAGTTAATCTCCACTATTAGACATTTGAGCCAACATAACAAATTAGCAATAAAATGTCTTAAAAAAATCTGCAGCAAAGTCTGGTCGCCTTAAATCCTCGGAACAGATAATAAATCAAGCAAAAACAAGGGTGTGTCCAGCTTGCTGCAGTCGGCCATTTTATGGCCTCTGCAGAATGAAAAATACAAATGACAACTGTACATAGAGAGCCACGCCCAGAGGTGCCAAATCAAAAATTTACTTTTGTCTTCCATTCTTTTAAGCAAATACTTACTATGCACTGAGGTAAACAGTAAACAGTCTCCTCTCTTAATGATTTGTTTAAGGTTTATGATTTCAGACAAAAATTGAAATAATTCCCTTAAACGTGTCCTTCTTTATAAGGGATAAAGAATGCTTAAGAGCACAGGATTATGCAACAATAAATCGTGGCGAAGTATTCAGACTCGACCATTCAACTAGCTATAAAACCTTAGACAAATTAATCTGTGTTTCTCAAAGTTCTCAACTGTAATAAAATGAGTAATGTTATAGCTATCCCAGAGCATTATATAAAACCTTTAGACTGGTATCTTGTGCTACTAAGTACTATAGACCTGTACATATTAGATATAGGCCCAGAGAATGAAATAGGAACAGCAAAAGATTGACAGGGTTAACAGAAATCTCATTCTAAAACTCTGTACCCTTTCCTATATCTGAAAGCTAAAAGATTAGTTTTAGAAATTAACTGTATATTTTCACTAGCAAGGCTCAGTGGCACAACAGGCCAGCAGACAAACAAAATGAAACAACCAACCTCCAATTTCCCAACTTTATCTCAGATCAAACCATGCAGAAAGTTCTACATTAGGAATATAGACAGATAGGTAGACAGACAGACAGACAGACAGACAGATTGGGAGAGAAAAGGGATTCTTTCATATTTCCACTGCTTTTACTTTGTGTCCGCATGTCAGTAAGTTTCAGAAGATCGTTTGCCCAGATCTTATGTTTTAATGTAATTGCGTTTAGAAATAGCAAAATCCTCTCGCGTATACTCTGTAGGGGCGAAAGCCCCACGCGCTTTGGGCAGACACAGTAGTCACCTCGTTCGGCTACTCAGGTCGGATAAATTCGAGGACCAAGATCGGCCAGGATGATTCAGGAGTCTAGAATAAGCTTTGTCTGGACGTGGGTGGATAGTTAAGCGCAACATGCTGCGGCAGCAACATTTTACAGCCTCACTCCTCTGTATTTTAAAATTCCCATTATCAGACTGATCAGGGAGAGACTTAAGATTCTTGAATGATTTTCACTGGGTTTGGCCGTAGCCTCCAACTCCGACTGATCCCTTCAACAAATAGAAAAGTACATTTGCCTCTCCTAGCCTAAAATGGCGATTTGGACGAAGGACAACTTACCGAACCCCTTGCTATTTCGCAATCATAATTACCAGAACGTTGCGCTCCTCCCGCCCTCCCAGCCAAGCCTTTGGCAACACGCAAGCGCACTTCTCCATCCCTAGCGATGAACTCAAAACGGTCAGCGTGCTATTTTACGCACGCGCACTTTGATTCCCGCGTAGACTCCTTTGCTTGCAATGAGCATGCGTTGTTACACCTTCTCGCCTCTCTACCCCACCCTTACCAAACGCTACACGATCGCCCGTGCCAGAGCGGCTCCTCCCTTTATGTCAGATTTTTCTCAAGAGTACTTGAGCGCCACCACTTGGTGCTACGATTTCTCACTTGGGATCTTAAAGTCAACGCCAAGCGTGCCTGTCTTTGCTAGTCTATTACCCCTCCCTGTGTCTGTGAATGACTATATTTTTATGACCGGTGCATCTGCACGTGTTTCTCGCCAATGTTGTGCCCCGGTGTCTAAAGAGTATCATTAACAACATAACCTAGCAGGGTTAACTGTGATAAACCAGCTAAATTGCATATGGGGAAAAAAGGCGTCGCAGGTGATAAAGTGTATCCCAAATCTAGATGCAATCCGCCAGCATCGTAAGGGATAGGCTATGGGGTCCGCGGATTCCCTTAATATAAAAAAAACCCTCCAACCTAAACAAAAGCAAGGAAACATCGTGTGCTAAACCACTGAATCATCCGGGCGTGGCGATTTACGCCTTTAGTCCCAGTTTTAGAATGATGGCTGCGAGTTCGAACCCCGCATCCCTCAGCCTCAATACGCGCGCGAGACACACACACACACACACACACACACACACACACACACACACGGGCGGGGGGGGGGGGTTACAACGACCAAAAACCAATCAATTAAACAAACAGATAAAGCCTCATCCTTTTGATACACTCGCAACAAATAAAGAACTCGAAAGTTTTGTTTTCAATAGGATGTCAAGGGAAGCAGTGATGCTCAGGTGCCTCAAACGTGCTTAGAAGAGAGTCTAAAAAATCTTTCTCATAATATTAAGTAAATGGTCAACATCCTTTTGGAGGGCTGGGACTCTATTGGCCTCCATTTTTCCCTCCCGTCAAAGGGAAGAGTGCACAAATTAAGGATCATCCTGACCCACGTCCCCTCTGCCGCCCTCCATGTTATATTTTTGCCCTTCGTCGTTCCTTTACCTCTTGCTGAAGCGAGAGTCGTGGTAGCAAAAATCCTTATTTCTGACAGTGTGGAGAGCGTGGAGGAAGCGGCGGGTCAGAGAGACGTGCCTAGGTGACAGCAGCCTTGAATTAACGGCGGTGAACACCAGGTACGAAACCTGCTATACTCGCAGCTTCTGCGGTGATGCCACAAATCCACAGCCTCTACGGGAGCGCAGCAGCGCGCTCCGACGCATGCGCCCCGCTCCCTACCCCCCCGCCCCCGCGCCTCAGAGCGCCCCTCTAAAACCTACTGCAGCCCACCGAGCCTTCATTGCTTGCTCCGTACCCAGGGCCTTAGCCCACCCTGCTTTTCCCATCTCTCTGCTCACACCGGCGTCCACCACCCACCCCTTCCTCAGCTCGTTCTCCTGTCAATACTTTCCTCATTCTTCTAAAAATGTACCATTCCATTATCAAGTCTCTCGACGTGTTCCCTTCTTGACCTACCCCTCAAGCCTTCTCTGCCTCTCTGGAGTTCTGCTAACTAAGCCCCCGAGTGTTTCCTGTTGTGCTTAATATTCCTGTTGTTTAGAAAAGAAAAGAAAAAGGCTGATCATGATGATGAGTGCCTGCTATTCCAGCATTTAAGAGGAGTAGAAAGACGAGAGTTCAACCTCACCTACACAGCAAATTCTGGGCCAGAAAGGATCCTGGAGAGAAAACAAAACAAAAATAAAAGTCCTCACTCCTCAAAAAAGAAAAATATGTATGTAGATTTAGTTGTGGGCCCAAGTTACAGAAACTGGGAGATAAATCTTTTCCTGATCCCTGCAACCAGGGCACTTGTGGCAGAGTCTTCTCACGCTCAGCATGCTGTTTCTTTTGGGAATCTTAGTTTTTAAGGGTCTCCTTAATATTACGCCCCCCTTTCTTATTAATTTCTGAATTAAATTCTGAATTAATTCCTAATCATGAGAGATTAGAAAAAACTAATCTGACTGGCGCCTGTCTATCTACCACTTCATTAGCATGTGGATTTTCACGGAGAATACCACAAACATACAAGTAAAAAGAGGAGAAAAGAGATTTGGGGGGGGGGGGAC